AGGTTCCCATCCTGAATTAGTGACTCCCAGCTGTCTGTCCCATCTAGTTTCCATGGCAGTAAAAGAATCATAGAAAATGAGGTGCAGGAAATTGTAAAAAGCCAACATATCAAACTCTTCAAGTTGATTTCTTTAAACTGATGAATCAGTACCGGGGGTGGAGGGAGGAGGCAGAATTGAAGTTAAAGTTTCTAATTTCCTGGCTTGTTGAAAAGGCCAGCGTGTTTTTGTTTTTGTACTTGTTGAGGGTTGAAAGTAACATCCTTTGTACATATCATACAAGGCTGTAGATTCAGGATGGCATTTGGTTCATTAGTTCATTTCACAGCAACCCAAGAGTGTTTAAAGTACTCTGCATGTGTTTTAAAGTGTTTCATTTTATTCTTTATTTTTTATAGAGATATTCAAATTTGTTAGCATATTAGATGACTCCAAATCATACAGAAATTAAGTAAAAAATTCTCTCAGCCATGTTTGTTTGCGTCAACCCAAACAGCTGGATGGTTAACAGAACTTTTCACTCACATATTTGGGTGAAATATGTCACCTAGATAAAACCATAGAGACTTGTCATAAGTACCCAGAAAAAAACATATTAATCTTGGTATATACCTACCATAAACAAAGATATGAAGCCTCCAAGTATAAGCTTCACAGACAGTGAACTACTGATACAAAGAGAGATTATTTAACACATTTTCCTGTGTTCATTTCCCAATTAATTTCTCCACTCATACAGTTACAAGAGGGTAGGATGGAGTACCCAATATTTCAGAATCATTACATCACATTGAAAACATCATCCAAGAGGTAGCGGTTAGTTGGCATATATGCATGTTTCACCATATGCTATTGTTTACCTAAAGTAGAGGCTTGGACAGGAAGTAAAATTTAGAATTTTTTTAAAGTTGTAAATCAGCCAAGATTATACTTCCAGGTCTAGAAATGAGTCCTGATGTTACATAAGAATTTAACAGGCTTTAACATGTACTGTAAAAATATTTGCTATCTCCAATTAAAACCAGTTTGCTTTGATTATAGAAATGTCAGCAGTGCAATTGATATAAATATTGTTATACAATAACTTTCAGTTTGTGCCATCATGGTCCAATTTCCTCAGCTCTATTTTTTATGGGTTCCAAATGTAAGCAATTTCGTTTGTCTAGTTAAATTATGCTATAGCACATCTAGCAAACTACAAAAACTCTATACATTATATAAATTGTCAGAACGGAGTACTACATACTGAAGAGACACCTATGGTTGGACCATCACGGGTGTTAGAAATAATGAAAAGCTCCATAAAACATTTTATAGCATTCACCTGCTCAAACTCAGCACAGTTCTAGCTGGTCCTATTTGATATTTACTTTCTCAGATCTAAAATAGTCAATGGAAAACAGAAAGAAGTAGAAATTACTATTAATCCAGATTTCAGGATGTTTTACCTTTTACGGGAAGGAAAAATAATAGTAATCTCCATTTAAAATAGTGATTGAATTTCCACTTAATAGAGATTCTGATTTAACATTCAGAATCTGCAGATGACTTTAAGCAGTTATTGTATGGGAACAGTGCTGAAATTTGATTCCTTACATTTTTATTCTAATCAGCAGCTACACGTCCAGCCATGGATATGTGCCATTGATTAGGATTGCTAAAATCTCTTACGATTTTCTTCATCATTTAATCTACCTGTGGTTGTGCTTGTAATCCAGTTCAAACCCTTTGTCCAAATGGTAAATGATAGGAAATTTCTTTTTTTGTTAACTATGCACAGATTACTACTTTTGAAGATCCACTGAAAGGAATTTAAAGAAATACAGAATTTCAATGAAATTATCATACATGTTGTCTATCTGATCCATGGCATTCTCATGAGATTGCTTCTAAGTGTGTACATGTGTCTATGTATATAAGAGAAAACAAATATATGAGTACTAAGAACACTTATTTTCATTAAAAGAAATTAATCACTGAGTCAAGTATTCAGAGTATTGGTCTTCTTTTGACCTCAGGTCGGTAGGTAAGTAAATACACAAATAAATAAATCACTTCTTTGGGAAACCTCAGGAAATTTACTAACCATAATACATACCAAGCACTTGATAAATATACTTAAAACTGAAAATGATGGACTTTCAGAAAAAAAAAGCAAGCTTCAAGCAAAGATTACATGGATTCTAATTGCTCTCTCTAACATGGAATGGAACAGAAAATCTGTTATATTAATATTGACCCTTCTTACCCCTTCCAAGTTTTAAAGTTCCACACTAAACCTTCTGTTTGCAGAAGCAACATATCAAAAGAATGTTGTGCAGTTTGACAATTTAAAGTAACATTGTACAAAATAAACTTGAATGTTTGAATGTTCTGCTTCAGCCTGAATCTTTGTATTAAACACATCACAAAGGTACAATGACTATAAGGAAAAATATGATCATGTCGGTGTTATTTACACATTTGATGGTTAATCTGAAACTCCAAGGCCAATAGGGTATTCAGACTTCTAATCAGGCCTTAGAATGAGATGGTAGTTACATATAATCTGATTTTACTTTTTAACAAACTTACATGTTTGAATATTTGGAATGTCAATTATCCTTGTAGCACAATGATTCTACAAAGCATTCTTTCCTTCAGCCCCATTGTACAGTTTGTCAAATGAAATGACCATTTTTAATTCATAACTGGAATATAGAATTAATGGCAAATAACTCATGTATTCAAATATGTTCATTTTCTACTATGTGCCTGGCCTTGTTCTAAGGACAAGACTCTCAGTTTTACTGTGCAAACGCTAACATTTCTTCTTAGAGCTGTTTTCCAGAACAGCTGCTTTTCAGAAATATTGGGGGGACAACCTGAAAACTTTTAAATAACACTTAAGAACATAGATTCATTTTACAAATTACATGAACCCATTTTCAAATGTACATTGTGACTTTTGTTATCACTACAAGATTCCAACATTACTTTGGTATACTCGAGAGCTCTTAACTACCCTTAAAAAAAAACTTTGCGGTAGTAAATTATTTAACACATCAGCAAAACAAAGTCTTATGAACTTGGACAAAAACTGGCAAAACCGGAATTCTGCTTTTCCAGTTATTTATTTGAAGGGTCATACTATGCCTCATGAAAATTCATTTTTACCCACATTGCAGATATGAAGAGCAAGGGGTGGGGGCTAGCAAACAAGCCAATGCTGGCTAATCATGGAGTAGAATGTAAAGCTGTGGATCTCCTTTTATTATTAATAAAAATAATAATTGTTTTGTTCTTAAGACTCTTTCTTGGCAGCACTGGAGTAACCTATGCTCCAAATCGAAAGTCTGCGGACTAAGAAGATGGACCAGGATTATTCAGCCCAAAGATAATAGAGCAGACATTTGCAATGCCTTCCCCAAACAGGTTAAGAGTATCGATTGATTCTCACAGTACAGTGTACCTGGTTTGTTCATTTTAATCATAGAACAACCATCTAAAATTCAATGAAGCTATGACCCTTACTTATCACAAACGAGATCAATTAAATGCTAATCTAACAGTACCTTTCAGAGTCCATTGAGGTGTTTCGTTTCTTTTTGGTTTCTACAACCAAATGTCTACTAATTTCCCATCTATGGCACCAGAAACTTCTTTTTGTATTTCCTCGGATCGCCTCAAAAACACCTCTGGATTAACATCTCAAGGGGGAAAAAATGGGAAAGTTCAGGGCTTCTCCTGACCATTTGCTTCATATTGGACATGTAGAGTTTTTCTCCACAAATTAGCTTATAGTCGGTAGCAGTGATGCAGATCGCCTAAACCCGAAGCTGCCGAGGGCAAGCTCGAACTGCAATCCAGCCCCCGTCCCCGCCCCTACTCTCTCCGTGGCGAAATGAATGTCGAGACGGCATCTACTAGTGGAGTGAGATCGTCTGTCTCCGTAACTGTAAACAACCGGCTGCACTGTGTTCGCTGAAATGTTTAAATACATTCCTGACTGCAAACATATCCACTCACCGAGTAGCGCCAACATTCTCCCCTTCTCCACCTCTAGGAAAAAGCATCCTAAAACTGAATTGGCAATCCGCCGGTTGTGGCGTGGACGAAAGTGCGGTTACATTTCCCCAGACATGCCGAGAAGGTACTAGGCGATGGGCAGATGGGCTGGCTGCTGCTAGATTCCCGGGACCCAGTCTCAGGATGAAATGTGAAAACGGGTGGCTGAGCGCGTAGTTAGAGCCAACCCGGGTGGCTGAGCGCTTAGTTTGAGCCAAAACCGACGGTTCCCAAGGCACCCACTGCTGCGTAACCACTGTCCCTTTTGACAAAGATTGGGGTGTAGGGAAAACGCATCGGGTGGGGCCCCATACAGCATAGGTTAGGAGGTCCTGAAGTTCCTCCCTGAACCTGCGCTCCCCAAGTGAGATTCGAAGAGATATTCAGAAGCAAACAGGTACTAAAGTGTGTCCTAGCCCCTAGTCATCTTCTCAGAGATGGCAGGAGCTTAATCCTAGTGGCCGAGCCCGGAGCGGACGTTCCAGGTGGGAGGGATACCCAAGAAGAGGCGACTCCCTAGTCTCTCCTGGGACCCAGGCCCCTCCACCCTTCGTCCGTGTCCACTTGTTAGACTGCCGGGACTCTGCGTGAGAGCCCAGGCGCGGACCCCCCCCTTTCAGAACCCGAGGAATTGGTTGGCAAAAGTGTCACCCGAGAAGCCCAGGGTGCCCTCGAAGGGCAGCGCCCCCACCCCAGGGCCCCGCTTGAACCTCGAACGAGGCCGACCTCCTTTCTCCCCCAGGTGGTCCCGAGCTCTGAGCCCGGCACAGACCGAAAGAAGGAGCAAAGGTTCCTCCACCTGGGGCAGGACTCCCAGAGCCGACAAGCTCACGGCCGGAGCCTCCATCCAACGCCAGCAGCCTTGGGGCGAAGTTCGCCTAGAGTCCTTAGGTTGGGCGGTGGGGGGCGGTGGGGGGAGGAGGGGGACGAGCCAGAGGGAGAAATGCACTTACCTGGTCCAGGCGCAAGTTTTGATGCGGTCCCCAGGTGCGGTCTCCCGCCCCCTTGCCAGGTGCTCAGCCCCTCCGGACGTTGCTGGCACCCCGGACTTCAGGTGTCTCAGCCGGTTCCTGCAGGAAACGACTGTAAATCCACATTACTGTTCGAACTGCCGCTCCGGCTCCCGCATCGCTCTCCTCGGGCCCGGCCGTGGGCAGCGGTGCTCAGTCAGCAGCCGCTGAGGGCAGGGACCGAACCCGGCTACCACCGCGCCCGCGGACGCCCGCCGCCAAGAGGGTGCTTGCGCCCAGGGTCCTACGTGTGTGCGAGAGTGTGTATACGCGTGTGTGTTCCTTAAAGAGTCTGCGTGTCTGTGTGAGCAAAAGGGGTGAGCTCAGCCCCTGGGGCACTAGGAGGTGAACTCCGAGCAAAGCTGGAGCCTGCAGCGCTCCAGTGTGCGGGGCGTCTGCACAGCTGCGTTGATGTTGCCGTGGCCGCCGCCGCCGCGCTCTAAGGCTGGTCGCGGTGGTGCAAAAAATGTTTCTCCGCTACTCGAGACCAAAAACCTGCCCTGTCTACTGAGCATGCCCGGTTTGACAGCTCCACAGCCGAGGGGTTTTTTTTCCCCCCTTTTCCCCAAGACTCCAGGTTTTAGCCGCAGCTGAGATAGGGGGAGGGAGGAGGAGGGCTGAGGGAGCAGGTATCGGGCAGAGGAAGGGAAGTCGAAGAAAGATGGGGTGTTAGAAGGTGAAGAGAGGGTAGGAGAAAGCTGGAGGTGGGAGCAAAGGAAGGAATATAGATAAACAAAATTTAGATTTAGTACAATGAGTGCCTGGCCAGGGGACTCTCGTGCCCAGCTTTTATTATTTTTTCCCAGGGGTTAGATGGGATGGGGAGTTCGGGAGAGTATTTGTCATCCCCAAGATCAACCTGGGACAGAGCTCCATAGTCATGATAAACGCAAACGCGCGTGCACACACATCACACACAATGGAGTGCGATCACTGCTCGATTGTGTAAAACCTCAACACTGACTTAGAAAGAATGCCAAGTCTCTTGCCAGTATAACTTTGGCAACAAAAAAAAAAAAGCGAGGGAGAGAGAGGAATTGTTGGGGTTCCTCGTTTCCCTTCTCCCCGCCTTCCAGAAACGCCAAGCCCGTGACTGCGGAGCACAAGTGACCCGAGAGCTCTCGTGTAGGTCTATGTGAGAGCACTGCCGACTGCCTCCCGCTGACAGTGCGACCCCAGCGCGCCAAGGCCGGCCACATGCAGCCTCCTGGCGGCGCGTCAAGTCAGCACTTACAATGTCCGTCTGGAGGGGGGTCCAATGCTCCAGCTCCAGCCCCGCCTGGTCGCCCAGTTCCCTGGACTCCCCAACCGGCTCCGCCCCTCACCCAGCCGGGCACCGGGGCACGTACCCAGGCGAACCCGGCACGCTGCCCAAAGCCTTGGATCCCTCCCTTTCCACCCTCTTCAGCTTCCTCGAAAAAGCGGAAAAGCGGAATGTGCATGCCCATAAACTCGCTTCGGGAGCCTTAGGAGTCATATTGGGCATGCTCAGGACTTGGGGCGCCTGGCGTGGAGGAGCTCTCCAGTCGCCCACATCTGCATGTCTGGGCCAGATGTGCGCGCGAAGCCTGAGGCGTTGGCGCCGGATTAGAGTTTGACTCCGGTTCCAGGGAGGGCGGCGGCGACGACCACAATCGCCTTCCCCTTCCCGGCTTCCCAGCGAGAGCCTGACCGTGGGAGATACCAAGTGCAGAGCCAGGGGAGCTGCACCAACTGGAGAAACCGGAGTGTCGAGTTCTCCCAGACCCCCTCCCTGCAACGCCACCCGGGCGGTACACAGGTAGGGGGCGCGCAGAGCAGCAAAGAGTGACTACTAACCTCTAGGTAAAGAAAAGAAAGCGGGAAGACTCGAACCTTCTTTGGGGCAAAGACGTATACTGTTGGTTTTCTTAAGTGAAGAAAGCAGGGTGCTTGTGCTTATCTATGTGTGTGCACGTACGTTTATAATTTTTCTACGCTAGCGCAGGGACAGGGAAGCGAGTGGCTATAGCCGAGCTGAAAGCCCTCTGGGGGTTACAATAAGGCACATTTAGATCCTTGGCTGGCCCTATTACCGAGAAGAGTTGCTCGCGGCACGGTGGGCGCGCACCAAAGCTTCAAGCTGTTCTCCACCCTGGATGGTGGCAGTTGCGAGAGGACGGCTTCCAGGCTGGATGGTCTCTGCGCTCCTGAGCTGGGGGGACCGGATTTAGTTTCCGAAAGAGAGGTAGAATAGGGTGACGCCAGGGGGAGATCTCAGAACCTTGTGTTCCTGTCTTCCTGGCTTTTGGTACAGGTATTTGCAAAGAGGGAGCACTGTAAGCCCAGCACCACCGAGGGTTGGAAATCTACGGAGCTGAGCACTCTCAGGGGAAGAATCAGGGAATCGAGCACGTTTATTCTCATCGTCCCCTTTCCAACACCGCCTTTAGCTTCGGGCAGGATTCGTTTGGATCCCTGCAGCACACCATCACCCCACCACCCACCCCCACCCTACCGCAACAAAGAAACAAAAGATGACAACCCGACTCTAGGGGCATAACAACTGCTTTTAGAACCATGTCTCTTTTGGGCTGTTGAAAAAGCAATAGGGAAGGCGATGGTTGTAAAAACCTGTGTCTTGCACCATATGTAAATGAACCTTACTGAAGCCCACTACCCTTACCCAAAACAAAATAAAACCTTGTGTATAGTTTTTAATCCTAAATAAAAGATTCCTCTTTAAGAACTGCCCGCACCCTGAACTGTGGATAGAAAAGACTTTCAGGATACCCCCTCAATTCCCACCTAAGAGTTCTAGAAGGAGGAAAAAGAAACATCTGGCCAGTCACTTTTCCAGTGATTCAAAAACACTGTGAAAGTGTAAGGAATTCTGTAACCAGTGATTAAAGAAACACCTCCTCATTAATGAAAAGGGAATTCAGGCGGAATGGGACATGGACAAGCCACAATAGCCGTGGAAATGTAATATAGGATTTAAAACCATGATCATCTCACTCTCACACTTGCTGTCTCTTTGTTACTCTTTTTGAAGACACGGGGAGGAAGGGACAGTTGATGCCTAGGGATTTCATGAAAGGAAACAGCTTGTTTCTCTCCTGGCAATTCAACAGTCCGTTTAATCATTTTTTAAAAAGAAATACTTTCTCCTCTACCGACTCTTCTTTATATTTTCTCACATTCTTCCCTCTCATTTTCCTCAGTCGTCTTCCACAGCTCCCTGGAGCCCTTAATTCATTTGCTCTGCACCTGTCTCCCTTTAGTTCTCTCAAAAACATTGTTTCCCTTTTTAATTCCAAAGTACAAAGGGCTCTGTCACTTTTCTCCTTCACTGAAGGACTGATTTACAGTTTCTGGAGGCCCACAACCTGATGCGGTAGCTGGGTTTCCTAAAGCATTTATTAAACTTTAGAGATTCTCTAGATCATTTAAGCAACAGGAAATTGCAGCATTCTCAAGTCATTTTGCTCACAGGACCAAGATTTTTATTTCGAAGGTGGATATAAGGGAGAAGGCACACTAAACTGCCAGTTTCAGAATGGCCAATGTAAAGGAAAATATAACCAATTATAATGGAGCATGCAATCTATATAAGACAGTTGCCTAGATTATTCAAAGAATTTACTAGGAATTTTAAGAAATATTGCCTTTTCGTTAATAACAAAGACCACACACGTGATGTTGTACACCCTCGTATGTTTATTCCCAGAACTAATGCAATTACAAAAATTCAACCCAGAAAATTATCTTGAAGCGTCTACTATGTTCCAGGAATGTGCCAGCACTGGGACTTGTAAAGAAATGGAGGCTTTAAGAAGCTAAAAGATTTTCAAAGATATGGGAACATTTCAATAATCAAAGAAGCTTATACTGAGGGATTGTTACTATGTACCTAAAACAATAAAGTCCTAGAAAACAGTATGTAGATATTCTGGCCTTGGTATTTTAAACATATTCATTAAATCCATAGGTTGTATTCTCTACAAAGAATGAGTAATGGAAAATATCACTTATTTCAATCTTGTTTCTAAGTACTCTCATAAGTAAGAGTATAAGTACAATAATATTAGAAGGCTAAAGTCAATAACAATCACATAAAGAAAATCAATGTGAACCATCTGAAATGAAGGGGTTTTGTTGTGTTGCTTGTCTAATGGGAAGATGTTTTCAAAGGCACATTTTCCAAATGTACTTGTTGTGGTAAACCATTATTTCCCATTTCACCTGATAACAATGTCATCCAGAGATCAGCTACCAGAGATTATGAATGGTGCTGGCACCTTACCCTTTGGCTACAATGGTTGGAAGGAGGAAAGGTAGCTTAATGATTTTTTACCCTAACAGTTACCATAAACAGATCTGTTAAATTGCAGTCACCAGCTTGCCGCTAGGGAGTACCCATATCTGGTCGACTGTGGGCCCCTCTGGGGAAAGCAGCCACACTGGAGGAAGCTCATTTGAGCCTGGATGTGAACAGCTGGTGGCCGGGATCCTGCATCCATCTGCTCAGAACAGAGTCAGACACGTACGTTATTTTTCACATACCCAAGTAAGGCTCAGGAGAGAAGGTGACAAGCCAGTTAAAGTCTTCTCTCTACCTATTCCTATTTAGTATCCAAATAGACAAATGGATCCTGTGGATGTACTTTTCTGACTAGAGTTCCAAGGAGAAGCAAAATTCTTTTTTTAAACTTTGGGCTTTAGCAAGTCACTTTGTATTCAACATAGCAAGCCTTGCTAATGGAAGTGTACATTCAGACAGAATATGCCTCATTGTAAAGGCCCCATCAATGCTACTGCACCTACTCTCAAAATAAATATCTCTCATACAGATTAATCTTAACCTTCAGAAACAAACGGGCCTCAATAGGGTTCAGTGACACTTCATTTGTGTTACTGCTATATGGGTTAAAATAATTGCCCAAATTTAAACTATAGAAAGTTAAAAGAATGGCAACTTGGTCTTTAATTTATATGAAATCCACTTATATTTGATATGCATACACCTACACCTATAAATATGGCAATAACAATAATTTTACCGTCAAAGATAACATAGTGATTTCCCTTTCAGATCTGAAAGCTGGCATTATGATACGGTTTGTCTTTTTATTGGAAATACTTTTAAGAATACAGTATACTTTTTGGCACTTTTTGGCTATCACAGTTGAAAAGAGGAAATATTGATTTCAAAATGTGCCGTGATTTCTGTTTGAGAAATGAAATTACACTCCAGAAAAAGAATTTGAAAAGAGTATAGAACAATTAGGATTGTTCTGTTGGCATTTAAGTGCACTTGAACTTGTCTCTAAATTCGTGACCTTAACCTTTTAAAGTGAATTATTATCATGATTGACTTACAGGTAACTATTAATTTGTATTGAAATAACTAAAGCATTTAGTGCTTCTGAAACGCATGCTTAATAACGGCCATAAGCAGACTTTTATAGCTACATACATTAACAATTGCTATTAGATGCTAACAATTATTAGGCTGGTGTATTATAACCAGATTTTAAATGTGTTTTATATGAAAATTAGGGACTAGGATGTTATCATTTTCTATGCAACACAATAAACATGAATAATTTCTTCTTAGACTCAGGAAACAGGTCCCCCATATGTATCTTCATTCTGTCATTCATACTTTCATGAAGCAAAGATTTATAGAAAACCCACTATGTGTCTACTCAGTGCTAAGTACTGGAAAGAGTGATAAACAAAACATACCTGCTCCTGCTTTTGTGGAGATTACAATCCACTGGCAGGAGACCAACATAACCAATCCCACAATGAGGTATATAGTTTTAAACTGGTGAGCACTCTGAAGGAAAAGAACATGGTATTGGCAAAAAAAAAAAAAAAAAACTAGAAGAGATTCCATTTAGATTGGGGTTGGAGTGATTAGGTAGCTTCCCTGAGGCAGTGGCTACTAATCTGAGTTCAGGAGAATGAGTAGTAGTTAGCATCACAGGTCTGTAGAAAAGAAGCTATGGTACAGTATTTACATGAGAAATAGCTTTACAATGTCAAGAGTATCTGGAATGTAGTGAGCACAAGTTGTATATTTGGGGGTGGGGTGGGGGTGACATAAAATGAGGCAAAAGAGGCAGAAAGAAGCCAAATCATATAAATATTCAGAGGACTTGATAAGAATTTTGGATTTTACCCTGAGGACAATGGGTGTGATATGATCTAATTTACTGTTCGATGGATCTTTACCTGCATCAATCAAATCCTTATACATGGCCAAATCTCAAATAATAAACTTTTTCTATTCTTATTCTTTCTGACCTCTCTGTGGTACCAAGGGTTCCTTAGAAACTTTTAGGGTATCTGTGTAGTCAAAATTATTTTCATAATACTAAGATATTATTTGCCTTTCACTCACATTCTCTTACAAATATAACTCAATTATGTAAATGCGAAAGCAGCCATGGCCACTGTGGCTCAGCTGATTTGGGCATCAACCCACAAACAGAAAGGTCGTGGGTTCAATTCCTGGTCGGGGCACATGCCTGGGTTGCAGGTTCGATTCCTGGTCTGGGTGTGTACAGAAGACAGCCAATGGATGTTTCTCTTTCACGTCCATGTTTTTCTCCCTCTCTCCCACCCTTCCCCTCTCTCTAAAAAAATAAATGTTTAAAAAATAACTAAAAAGTAAGAATTTAGTTATGTTTTATTAAGCCAGGCACAAAAAAGATAACACTACAGTTCTTTTCAATTTTTGTTTGGGAAAATACAGCAGTTTTTCATGTAAATCTTATTTATGTTAACATGTAATGAATGAGTTTACTACCATTACCTTAAAGACATCAATACATAAATTTTTAATTCCTGCCTGTTTTAACTTCTGATAAATAAATATCAATAGAGATAACCCACAAAGAAAACAACAACCCTTTGGGATCTTCAAAAAATGTTAAGAGTATACAGTGGTCCAGAGACCAATGCCAACCACTGAACAGAGACCACAACCATTCTTAAAACTGGTCGCAGCTTCCACTGTATTAGTCTTTTACTGTTCCAAAATAATCAGTCCTTAAATTCATAATAAGAAACTGACTGTTACATTGCAATGCAGAATGATGACTTACAACTACCGTGTAATACATTTTGAAATTATTCTATTCTATTCCAGTGGAATCAATTGCTGTCTTAACCCACTAACCCACATTTGAAAAAGTGTGGATGATCTCACCCCATTTCCAGGTTTAAATAATTACTTCTAGTTTATATCTTCAAGACAATATCTCCTGTCCCAACATTCTTCCTTGGCTCCATCTCTAACAGCTGCCTGGACATTTCCTCCTTAATATTTTAAAATTACCACAAACTAAACTTGTTTAAAACGAAACTCATACCCAATATATTTTTTCAGTTTTTAATTTTTAATTAACTTGTAAACAGAAAAGCTCCCATTTCAAAATAAAAACAAAATCACAGATCGTTTACATGTTTACAAGTATTACACTTATCTAAGCCACATCCATACATGTTTAATTTTAAGATGTTAACTAAATTTCTGTGACAAATATATTTTTTTCCTAAATACAAAGAACATTACAGAGTTAATGCAGAGTCCTAAGTGTAACCTAGTAGTCACTAAGTTTTTCTTAAGTCTTCACTTTAGATATTATTTCTAGCACAGGTAAGCAGTCAGAATCTTTCTTTGGTAGCTACCATACAATCTGGCTTGCAAACAAGAAGCCAACCATTTTAAGAATGTTTTAAGTGAAGAACTTACAAACCCCAGGGATGGATAAACTCTAAGAATGCACAATTGTGAGCATTTGCAACCATCACAACTGCTGAAGACTGTTCATGCAGTTCTTCTGAAATGACATCTCAAAGCAGTATAGTTCAAAGTAATAGATTTTAACAACAACAACAAAAAAAAACAAAGTAATTGCCACAAAGTCTGGTGTACATTTGCAAGGTGAAACAGATTATTTAGAGACTAATTTTAAACATTCAGGTAAAAACAATTTCTGGATTCAGAAAATAATTCAATCAAATAAAACAGAGTAAAAGATTTTAACCCCCCAAATAACATATGAACAGTTTATCCACCAACTTGTGCATGTCAACCATTTCATTAACTTTTCTACTTGAAAAAAATACAATAGTAAACTGGACACCATGTTTCGCTTTCTCAGTTAATACAATTAGAGGCTACAACTCAGAATACAACATCACCAATGCTGACCAGAGGTAGTTTATTTTGAAGTTAAATTCTTTACACCAAGTAAACAGCTGTCTACAACCACTAGATAGTATGCATATTAATTCAAAGTTCTAAGTTTCAGGAGAAACAAATACTGTTCCTAATACTTTTACTGCCTAGGTGCTTGGACACCACTGGTGGCTTGGACACCACTGGCAGCCTGAGCCTGCCTTAAAAGGGCTGCCTGCTGTGTTGCTCTCTGCTTTAAAACTGTCCAGTCAAATCTGCTGTCACCTTGTTCCTTCAGGGTGCGTAAAAGATTGAGAAATAGCTGCCTCAGGTATTTGTAATCTGGAGTTTCCTCAAAGCCAAGCCCACGACAATAGTTTAAGTACATAGCAAATTCTTCAGGAAACCCGCTGCATAACTGTTCAACAGGGATGGACATCTTTTTTTCACTAACCTTTTCATATTTTTGTTTCTTTGTGGCAGCCTTGACTCCTTGCCACGGCAGGGTATTTCTATTAAAGTACATCAAAACATACCCTAATGACTCAAGGTCATCTCTGCGACTCTGTTCAATACCAAGATGTGCATTGAGGCTAGCATAATGGATAGTGCCAGTGAGACTTTTTTCTTCTTTGTATGGTATGTGTTGCTTTGTCTTTTTGTCTCTGTATCTTTTGGCCAAGCCAAAATCAATAAGGAATACTGTATTACAATAACGCCCAGTACCCATTACAAAGTTATTTGGTTTAATGTCTCTGTGAATAAAATTCTTTGAGTGGACATATTCAAGTCTACTGATCATTTGGTCAGCTAACATAAGTATAGTCTTCATGGTGAAACTTCTTGAACAAAAATTAAAGAGGTCTTCGAGGCTAGGTCCAAGAAGATCCATGACTAGCACATTGTAATCTTTTTCTTGACCGTACCACCATATGCGAGGTATGCCAACACCACCACGAAGAACCTTATAGAGTTTACTCTCATATAGCAACTGGGCATGAGTGGCCCTCTGAGATTCTACCTTTACCGCCACTCCCTCGCCATTGGTTAAGTTAAGCGCCAGATACACATCCCCGAAGGACCCGGCCCCGATCTTTCGTACCAGTTTATATTTCCCCCCAACGACGACGTCTGGCTTGGGGCTGCTGCTACCACCGGTCGCCATCTTGAGAGATGCGCTAACTCCGGACACCTCTGATAGGATGTAAGTAGGTCTCTGGGCTCGTCGACCGTCAGTCGTCTATCGGAGCGACGCCCTGGGAAGAAAGGGACAAAAAACTGAAAAACCTAGGCTCTTGGGGTTAGAGGGTCCAGATTCTGACAGGAAACGTTATTACCTCCGCTCAGACAAGCCGCAGTCGGTGACGGGTTCTCGCCGTTACCAGGTCGTCGGTCGGAGCGATGCCCTGGGGAAAAAAGGGACAGAAAGCTGAAAACCTAGCCTCTTGGTGTTAGAGGGTCCAGATTTCGACAGGAAACCTTATTACCTCCACTCAGACAGGCCGCAGTTGGGAGGGGTTCTCGCTGATACCAGGTCGTCGGTTGGAGCGACGACGCCCTGAGGAGAAAGGGACAGAAAGCTGAAAGCCTAGGCTCTTGGTGTTACGGGGTCCAGATTCCGACAGGAAACCTTATTACCTCCACTCAGTCAGGACGTAGCTTGTGAGGGGTTCTCGCCGATACCAGGCTGGGCCACTAGTCTCTGGGCAGCCGCAGCAGCCTCGCTTCCGTTCAGGTCTGGGCAAGGGGAACAGCAGTTATGATGACACTGTTGCCATGGCTACCGCTGGCCCCTGCCCGGAAGTACCCCGTGGCTCCGCCCACGTGGCCATCTTATTATAATAACGCCAGCTAACGGAAAATCCTCAGTGTATATTTTAAATAGGAAAAATGGAAGATTACAAAAACTTAGTATCATGTTCGTATGCATTAGCTGAGACTAAAGTATTTACAAATAGATGTATGGAGAAACGACTAGGAAAATCACAATATTAATAGTGATTAAGGGGGATTTTTTTGTGATTTAATTTTTAAAATGTTTGTTTAGGCCCTGGCTGGTGTGGCTCAATTGACTGACTGCCGCTGGGCCTGCGAACAAAAGGGTCCCCAGTTCAATTCCAGCCTCGGCACATGCCTGGGTTGCAGGCCAGGTCCGGAGTTAGGGGCTCTGGAGAGGCAATTGCACATTGATGTTTCTGTCCCTCTTTCTCCCTCCCTTCTCCTCTCTCTGAAAATAAATAAAATCTTTTAAAAAAGAAACATGAGAAAGAAAATTATAAAAATAAAATATTTGTCTATATTTTCCATAAGTATATTAATACATAATCAGAAAGCTATTATTAAAAAGTAAAACAGAAGTAATCATTGTTGTAAGTCCTATGCCTCTTCTTGTCTTTCATTTTAAAGGTATGATTCTATTCGTACCATCATTTTCTTTTAATATGTTTTTTTCAGTAATAATTATTTTAATAATGCAGACTGCCCCAGAACCACTTTGTTTTATCACCAAGGGAATTCCAATCACAGAATGGGCATAGGCAGGAGTCACCTCCTGCCACAAAGTAGGTTCATCCGTTTGCTAGGACACCTGATGCCATGTTCAAAGTTCTAAATTCTACATGCTACTCCATCTCCGTTTTTCTGCCTTGAAATTGTATGCAGTACAGGTTATCCCACCAGCCATCAAATGGACCTGGTTACAATGGTGGCAGTCTATACTTTTGTTTCAATATTATTATGAATAAAGCCTAAAATATCTTTAATTTACATCACTTCTGCATGTGCCTGGGAGGCCCTTCCTTCTCCATTCTAGCTGTCTTTCCATACTCACCAGACTCACTTCCATTCCTGCCTTTTCTAAGAAGCCCTCCCTGAGATTCCATCCTGAGATGTTGTCTCTCCTCTGAACTGCCAAATTATTTTTCCTCTCTTGGCCCTTATCCCAGTCCTTTGTATTATAATTATTTATTTAGATGCTTCTTTCTCCTATTATACTTTCATTCTTTGAATGTAGGGATGTCTTTCTGTATATCTTGGTTATACATAATAGACATGCAAAGATAACTGGGAACAAATTATTCATTTAACAACTTTGTTTATAAAACAAGGTATTAAAATGGGAAAAACCGAGAGAAATATATACTTTCTTTAAAATCTAGTGCCTTGATTTAACATGATCCTTAGGCCATGGCTAAGAGGTAATATTGTATTTAAAAGAGATTTTATGTATTTAGTAAGTTTCTTGGATATGATATTAATAATCTATGGCTGCATAACAAATTACCTCAAAATGTCATAGCTTGAAACAACATTTTGCCATTTCTCACATTTTGGTGGGTGAGATGGGAATTGTTTCTCCTGGCCTTGTCTGAGCTTTCTCAAGTAGCTATATTTATGGCAGGTCACCTGGGGCTGGGTTCATCCCACATGGCTTTACATGTCTGGTATCTACACTGGAGTGGCTGGAAAACTGTGTCTGGGCCCAGACACTACAGTGGAGTGTCTGGGCCTCTCTCTCCATGTGTTCTCTCTCCAAGAGATCACATATTTTCTGTGTCAGTTAACTACTGTTGCATGACAGATGACCCTAAAACTTAGTGACTTAACCAACAGCAATTATCTCTCACAATTCTGTGGGTTAACTACAGGCTTGTTCTGATGGATTTTGATACATGTGTGCAGATAATTTCAGCTGGAGGGCTGGCTGGCCTGAAAGGTACAAGGTAATCTCACTCATATGTTTGGCAATAGTGCTGTCCGATGCCTTAGCTGCCCTTCTACACATGGTCTCTCATTCTCTGATAGACAACACCAGCTGCCTTGGTGGCTGGTGTCAGAGCAGCACCCCACGATGGTCAAGGTAGGAGCTACAATGCCTGGAAAGGCCTAGGCTCCAGAACACACATAGTATTACTTTTGCTTGTTTATTATTCAAAGAAAATCACAGGACCAGAGAAATCACCTCTTGATAAGAGAAACTGCAAAATATTGTGGCCAGGCCTTTTTTGTTGTTGTTGTTCCATATGCAAAAGTTAAGATATGAATTATTACAAATTCAATGTTCTACTGCATTGTGGTATAGTTAAAACTCCAAAGTAGGTGATATAATTTTTTCTTTCTTTTTCTTTTTTATTCAGAAGCACTGTCCCATTCTCATTTTACTTTCCTTTTCTTTTTTGTTACATAAGAAATTCATGAATGCATTATTGTAAAATATTTAAGGAATATGATAATAGCAAACTCTTACACTGTAAGCTTATACCATGTTCCAGGCTTCATTTTAAGTGCTTTACATATATTGCTCCATATAACCCCCACAGCAAGTCTTTGAGGTAAGCAATTGTATCACCACATTTTGTAGATAAAGAAACTGAGACACCGAGAGGTTAAGAAACTTGCCAAGGACAAATGGTAAATAGCAGAGCCACTACGTTCTATGACCCCGCCATGTTCTGTGACCTCAGAGTCTATACTTTTAACCACTTGCTAGAGCTGTTTTTAGTCTTGTCCCTACTTTTATTCTCTCAACAATGTGGTACACATTTCTTTAGTTCTACTTCTACACATTTATTATTATTATCATTATCATTATTATTTCTGTACACATATTGCACAGAAATATGTTCATATGCATTCTCTTACCTAAATTGGGTTACATTATATGCAAGATTCTGAAACTTGCTTTTTTCATTTAAAAATATAGCAAGGTGATATGTCAATACATATAGATCTACCTCATTTTTTAAACAGCTGCATAGCATTCCATTTTGTGGAAATACTCTAATTTATGTACCTATTTTCTATTCATGGACACTCAGGTAGTTTCCAATTATTTCCTTTTACAAAGAATGTTGCAATAAACATTTTTGAGTTCATTTTTCAGTAAAAGTTTTTGTACTTTTGTATGAGAATTTCTTCAGCAGAAACTAGAGTACATTTGGTGAATTAAAGACGGAGTTGTATACTATCAAATATTCCTTCAAAAAGGCAGGAGTGTATGAAAGTGTCCATTTTCCCTGTACTCAACAACAGTGTACATCATGAAACAATTTAAATTTAATGGACAAAAATACTTTGTTGATGTTTTCATACATATATCCTAGATTGCTAGTACAGTAGGACTTTTTTCATATGGTTATTGCTTTTCAGATTTTTTTGTGAAGTACCTTCTGTCATTTTCTCAATTTTCTAATGGATTATTTTTTTCTCATGGATTTGTTAGAATTCTGATATATTCCAGTCATTACTTTTCTCTGGTATATTTTTGCCAATATCACTTGATGTTGCCAAATCTATCAGTTTTTCCTTTCATGGAGCCTGGGTTTTGTAGTTTGCTTAGGATGACTTTGCCACCCACACTTTAAAAAAATATCCATTCTTTACCCTGGCCAGGTGACTGTTGGGTAGAGTGTCATCCTGTACACAATAGGGTTGTGGGTTCAATTCCTGGTTAGGTTGCAGGTTCGATTCCCAGTCAGGACATGTATAGGAGGCAAACAACAGATATTTCTCTCTCTTTCTCTCTTCATAACCCCTCCCCCCTTCCTCTTTCTCTAAAATCAATAAACATATCCTCAGATGAGGATAATAAAATAAAATATCCATTCTTTCTTCTATTATTTTCAATGTTTTTAAAAATCATAACTCTAAGGACACAGGGACAACAACTAAGGGGGAGTGGAAATGGGAGGGAGGTGGGGAGCACTGGGGGGGGTGGGGCGGGCTGGGAGTAAAAGACAGAAAACTGTACTTGAACAACAAATAAATTTTTAAAAATCATAACTCTAAAGTTTATTTTCATTAATGACATCTATTAAGGGTGTAGCCTATTTTTTCTCTTCATTTAGTTGACCACTTGCCCCAAACCCTTTTATTGCAAGAGCAGTCTTTCCTCAGTAATCTGAAGTTTAGTATAATTCAAATTAACCTACGTTTATACAGCTTTTTAAAAAATTCTCAATTCTGTTCCACTGATTTGACTGACTTTCCGGAAGTAATGTCATACTATATACTATATTAACATTATTTTAAAGTGTTTTGAAATCTCTCCAGTAAGGCTCTCCCTTACTCTCACTCTTCTTTTGTTTTTAACTTTTCTGTGGCTAAAAATACATATTTGTCATGTTTTTCACCTATAGGAACTTTCAAGAAGATCTTTCTACTATC